CATTTCATAACAAAAAGAGGGAAATAGCAAACATATATATATTACTATATTTAAACAAAACTAAACCATTTCATTGTTCCTCTCTCATCAAAGCCATATTTTGTCTTCGATTTTTGCGCTTATGATAGAGGAAGGATAGAAAAGGTTTAGCTGTTTTCATCGTTATATTTCGGTATTATCAATTTACGATAATATATATATATATATATATATATATATATATATATATATATATATATATATATATATATATTGATACCCTCTTTTTTAATGAATAACCTTTTATTATGTTTGGTTTCATTGATCTAATGATACGTGACGAAAAGAATAGTTGCTACCTAAATACACACACATGCACACACACACACACACACACATAAGTTTCTTCTCTGTCTTGCCATTTCTATTTCAATAATTCATCATCCATTGACTGGTTTGAAAATCCTTGTAAATTATAATTTCACTTTACAAGGTGATAATGATCATCACCTAATGTAATCTTAATTCCTATTGTAAGATATAGCCCTTGAAAATGTATTTTCAATTGATCACTCTTGAATGACAAGCTAATTCTAAAAACAACGGGCACCTGCGTAAATGCAAAGCTCTTCAGAAAAATGAATGGAGCACTATGGTTGCTTGGCGTTTGTTTACATTTGTAAAAACAATACACTACATTTGGCTGAATCATTCTGCCGTGGGAAGATAGCTCAGTGGTAGAAGATCTGGCTGACACAACACTGGTTTGGTTTCGAGCCGGAATTGAGGCATGCAGTTGTCTAGTCGCACTAAGGAGCTGCGAAAATGTACTTTCTGTGAATATATAGATATTAAACATTGTGTGGGGTGGACTATCTTGCTGTTAAACAAGTTTGGTGTTAGAACATATATATATATATAGTTTTGGAAACCATTGATTTTAATTTTAAAAGCCTCTAGGGCCCTTTCAGCCAACATCTCATCAGGAGACAATCGTTGGATTAGCGAAATGAATAATAGCGATATTGAAGAGCAAAAAAGAGGGGGAAACACACTAAAATAACGAACAAGTATATATACTGTAACGAGGGAAGGGATCGTGTAAATAAATTAGCGAGGGACAGTTAAAATAAAATATCCCCTAACAGATTCAGAGACCTTATAAATTCTTTCTGCCGGCAGAGAGAAGGTTTTCTTAATCCTATACAGACCGATTCCAAAATCTTCAAATGATTATTAGAATCGGCTGTATGAATAATTTAAACCACTCCATATTATATTTTATATATATATATATATATATATATATATATATATATATATATATATATATATATATATAAACCGGTTCTAACAGCAAAATTATCGAAATCGTTTAACAGTATGATAATCCACCCACAAAATGTTTAATATCTAAAAACACACTAAATTAATTGAGTTTCATTTTGCAGGTTTTCATAGCCACCTTGACATCATTTGTCGTCAGAGCCACTGAAAAAACCTTATCCAGCTAGAAAGAGAACAGGTTAAAATCGTTTTTTGACAGCTCCATTATATTTTCCTAACTGAGCAATAGTGAAAAACAAAGATCATTTAGGCATTCAGTAATGGTACCAAAATTCATAATCTGGCTTCCATCTACAAAGTCCATTCAAAAGAACGGGAATAAGTTTAAAAAAGACGAAACAGTAGAGCGGAAAACTCGACCTGGAGGTCACAACTGCAAGAGGGGTCATCATTTCAACTTAGAGCTAAAAAGATCAACTAGAAAAGATCGAACTCAATTCATAAGACGTTTGGCACGTGAGAAAGGAGTTTCAGCTATGACAATCCAAAGAGCAGTGAAAAAAACCCCCAAAAAACTTGAAAATAAAATTGTACGTGAAACATGGGCGGCATCTAGAACAGAAAGTTAGAAAGTTAGAGAAGGCGAAGATCATCTTGAATAAGTTGGAATATGATCCTGGATTAATATATATTCATACATGAACTTTATTTCAATCCTTCATGAGCTTCCGATGCTTAGCTATGATTAATTAATGATGGACATGTTATTCTCGTTTATGACCATTTACTGTATTCCAAAGTGCTCATTATCGGAAAGAGAGAATTTATAGATGTAGACATTGTGGACATAGGAAACAAAATTACTGTTATTTTCATGCCGCTGACAATCTTCAGACACTAATAATCTTATATATATATATATATATATATATATATATATATATATATATATATATATATATATATATATAGTAACAATCGGACTAAATTGATAAATCCTACTAACGATAAATTTTGTTCACAACAATTGACAAAAACTGCGATTAATTGTTTTTATCTAATTTTTCTTGTGTTCTTAAAATTTTCTTCTTTTCTGGATATAAATTATGTAGAAATTGTCAAAATATACTGTATGTCAAATCAATTTAGAGTATAATTTTAGCTATTATCAAGGATGATTTTATTTTTACTTTTAACTGAATATATGGACTTTAAGCATGTATCTAGAGTTATAGGAATGTTGTATTTCCAAACAGGATCAGAACATTGTGACCGTGTTCATAGTTGATGTTACTGAGTGTTGGCTTTTTTTTTTTATTAATGATGCATCCATTATTTTTAGCAAATTTTTACATGTTGGTGAAGCTATTATATTTGTATTATCAACGGGTATGTTGCGATAGAGTTTGGTAGGTCTCTATGTGTATGTAAATGAAATCAAATTGATTTATGATCAGAGAGATGTAACGTGAGTGGTCTTCTTGTTATGCATGTTGTAGTATATTCAATATAATTATTTATGAATTTGGTTTTATCAGAAATAAAGTTCTTTAAGAGACTGGTGAATTCATAAATATTACTGGTTCTCTGTAATTTGGATCTTGCAGCTGATAAAAGATTCCTATAAATCTTGATATATGCATATTTGTCAATCGCTTTTAACTAAACATTTATAAAAGAGAGATTGCTACCTAAACGCACAATTATATATATATATATATATATATATATATATATATATATATGCGTCTGTGTGTATGTGTGTATGTATGTTTGTATAGAAAGAGAGAGAGAGAGATAAAAAGATAGATATATGTGAGAGATAGAGAGAGAGAGAGAGAGAGAGAGAGAGAGAGAGAGGGGGGTAGAAGGAGAGAGAGCGTGAGGTTTCTACGCAAACAAGTTATGTTGACGAAGATCTGCAAGAAGAATTTTGTTAATTTTGTTTTTTACTTTCTCGTTTCCTTACGAGAATGTTTATTTCTGGTTCTCGTGAGAATGAGACTTCTCAAAAGGATTTTATTCGAAAAATTCAACACTGCTTTTACATTATCAGGAATGATTGTCTACGTCGATCTTTTCCCTTGAGATATTTAGTCATTGAAATTTCAATCTCAATGACGTCATTAATATTTCTAAAACGTTGGGATTTTCAATATCATCCGTATGTGACAATAGAAAAATTGGATGCATATATCAGTTTAAATCAAATATTCTTAAAAAGGTATTTTTACGCCAAAGGAGTTTTTATATTAATAACGAGAAAAATCTCGTTTATAATTCATATTATACAATACATGTGTAATATTTACTAATAATTTAGTGTCAAGAATTGTTCCGATCAGCTGAATTATATGGGGACATATAGCCGTCCGATCCCACAATTTGCAAGTTAATTTGCATTGAAATGCAGTGGCGGTATAACGGAATTAGATTTTTTTTCATCATAAAATGGCACTGTCTCCTAGTGTACAATGGAATTTGCATTTCACATTCATACATCTGCATCCTGAAACATAGAAATGTAAATACGGCTGCTATGGGTAAATTGTTGCCATTTTGTATTTTTAATTTCGTGCGTTCGCGTTGTTTGTTTTTGATTATAGTAGGATTACTTGGCCAACATCTGTGAGAAAAAGAGCACCATGCAGCAATTAATTCCGCCAGAAATTTGGAAAACTGCATGCTGTATTGCTTAGCATTGCACCATAAGCTTCAATATGAACATTGTACTGTGTTTGGGTGTCAATCTGAGGGCAGTGCAGAGGATTTAGAAAGAGTTGGATGTGTCTGATGGCGATTACGAAGAGACGACAACTACGAAAACTCATTCTGATCGTTCTGATAAGAACAGAACTCCCAAATTTGCTGGTAAGGGCCTCAGACTCACCAGGTAGGCCTAGATCAAATGCTTTGAAGAGGGAATGCTGGGCTGGGTTAAGAGGGTGACTGATGGAAGATCCTTTATTTGGCAACAGGAATCTGCACCATGCCACACAAGCTGAAGAAGCCAGTCATAACTGTCAAACAATTTCTGCTACGACATCGTCTTTAAATCTGACCATCTTACTCTCCAGATTGTAACCTTCTTGTTTATTAAGTGTAATGCGTAATTGAGTGGGAAATCATTGTAACATCAAAGATGAAAAATTCAGAACTCTTCTTTTTTTTTCTATCTAACGATATTTTCCAGTGTCTTAATATTTTGCTTAATACTTGGAAGGCATTTTTTGCTATTTCAATAATAAAAATGACTCGAACGATAGAGGCAAATAGAAAGTGAATAAGAGTCTATGTTCGTCTCTCTTTTTCTTATCCATCCATCGCTTTTTATTTATCTGTACGTTTATCACTCTACAACAGAGAGAACAAGAGAGAGAGAGAGAGAGAGAGAGAGAGAGAAGAGCGAAAGAGAGAGAGGGGGGAGAAAGAACAAAAATGTAACAAAAAATATAAGATTGAGAATAAACTTGTGTAACATAAGCGGTAATAAATTGGAAATGACGTTTGTTAAATATTTGAGACAAACTATTTAAAAAATAAAAATTATATAACAAGGTTTGAACTTAATTATTAATTCCTGGGGCAAAAGGCAATGGACGAAAAAAAACCCCCAAAAAACGAAGGTTAAAAAATAAAGAAATAAGAAAAGAAAAGGAAAAACGTTTGGAGGAAAGTCTGAATAAATACTGATGGCTAAAAGGGGATTTCACAAATTTTGAAATTTTACGCTGTCAAAAAAGATGGACAGAAAAAAGCAAAGATGAAAAAAGAATAAAATATATAAGAAACGCGGGTAAATAAACGAAACAGTGATGAAGGAAAAAGGGAGCCAAAGAAAGAAAATGAGGGAAAGGGGAGCAGAAAAAATGATGAAAAGGTAGAAAAAACAAAAAGAAAATGAAGGGAAAAAGATCAAAAAAACGAAAATGGGGAAAAGTGTCAAGAAAAGAAAATGAGGAAAAGAGAGAAAAAGAAAGAAAAAGAAAATGAGGAAAAGGGAGAAGAAAAAGGAGGAAAGAAAAGGGAGAAAAAGAAAAAGAAAAAATTAAAATGAAGAAAAAGGAGCAAAAACAGAAACTGAGTAAAAAGATAGCAAAAAACGAAGAAAAATAAGAAAATAAGAAAAGTGGAAAAAATGAAGGGGAAGATGGCGGAAAACTTAATTAAGGAACAGATAAAACAGAGGAAAATACAAGACTAAAATAACCAAAAACTTAGAAATAACTAAATGGAATAACAGAAAAAGAAAAAAAATAACAAAAACTTAAGTAAGGAAAATATACAGAAAAGGAAATAAGAATTGAATTATACAACTAAAATATGATAAGTTCGCACAAATCTATGTAAAATACAAACAACACCGAAAAGGAATGATATCCCTACTGCTACTTAATAATCGGGCACGTCAATGAGAGAAAGTAAAAATAAAGAGAATAAAGTCGCTTTTTAATAAGAGTAGAGGTTAATAAAGAGAAAGGAAAACAATGATAAAGGTATGTTAAGAAAATATTGTGTTTTAACTTACAACAGATGGAAAAGATGAAAAAAATAAGCATGTAAAAGAAAAATGAAATCTAAAAATAAGAAATCAAAATTATACCAATAGAAAGCGATAGAGTTAAAAAAACGAATCTTCAGACAATTAATCAAAGAAAAAAAATGGTGGGACGTTAATTAAATAAACTAGATAAATGTTTAAAAAATAGCAGAATTCTAATATATGAAGAAAGGCTGAACTAAAAATTAAAAAAGAAGAAATGCTAGACAAGCGATGCAAAAGAATGAAAGTTTCTTTTTTTAATATATATTGACAAAAAAAAAATTAATCAAATTACACAGAAGCAAATAGAGAAGCGAAGCCCGCGACAAACGTTGAAAATATAAAGATACAATTAAAAGCAGCGGGAAAAATGTCGGCTGCAAACATTGATTCTTCTTCAGTCAGTCGATGTCAGAAAGATGGCAGTTGCCCGAGAGACGCCTAGTAGGCAAGGAAATCCAATTCAGACATGTTAATTCATTCGATGCTATTTGTTTTAAAGTGGACAGGATTTGAAAAAAATAAATAAACGGTTGATTATATTACTACGGACAGTCCATTTGTTCAGTGTCTGCTCAGCCACAGCTGAATTAGAAGACGTTCGCCACAAACATCACTACTTTTTCTTTTTTCCAATTTCCGTCTTTTTCTCTGCAATCTGGACTTTCCTTTCATCGTCAACATCATCTCGTTCTTATTCCTGCCTGTTCGGCGCAGGAAAATTGTTTGATGTTGCCTTATGCTAAACTGAGCCAATATTTCTTATACATATATGCGTGTCTCATTGATAGTTTACCTGTTGATGCGTTTGCCTAAAATAAAATCATCGTTATTACAATCCAGGTAGGATTTCAAATTTGATTTTCAAGGTTGGTACATCCTTCAGTCTATCACATTTGCTTGTAAAATCTTAGAATTGGATAGGAATTTTGACCATTACTAGAAACAGCACGAACAGTTTGGGATGAAAAATCTAATTTATGTAAGAGTTGGAAAAAGAAAGAAAAATGAGGAAAAAGGAGAGAGAAAAAAGGAAAAAAAACGAAAAAAGGAGGAAAAGGGAGAAAAAAACAAAATGTGGAAAAGGAGCAAGAAAAGAAAATGAGAAAACAGGAGCAAAAAGAAAAAAAGATTATGAAAAAAGGGAGAAAAAAAATGTAAGTTGGGATTTCAAATTTTGCTTTTCAAAGTTGGTACATCCTCCAGTAGTGTCATAATCTATCAACTTTTGCTTGAAAAAATCTTAGAATTTCATTATTTGTTCATCTTTTTGCCACTGTATAGATTTAATCTTTGAGTATCTCTCACTCTACTGATCAGCGTATCGGGCAGCGTAGATTCACGATGTCTTCATCCATATGGCGAAATAGTATTTATTACACAACTAATATTTATTTCTGTATAAACTTTTTGAATATATTCAACTCGGCGCTTCTCTATAGAAAATGCTGATCCTTCTACAAACTCTATAAACTTTCCCAACAAAATCACAAAAAAAACCTTTAAAACCACATCGTTCAAGCATTTTTAATAACAGCATCAACAAAATGGATGACAAATGTAACTAGAAGAGAAAATAATGATATAATCAAGATATTAACTTTTGACACTGTCAATAGTGAAATGGTTAGAAAGAAATTTCGATCAGTACTAGAAAGAGCTATAACAGTTTGTTCACTTGAAAAGTCTAATTTACTTAAAAGTTATGCCCATATCTCTGAGATGAGGTATTATGATTACTTGCATTATTTACATTATTCGGACAGTTATCCCCATCTTCATTGCCATATTCACAGCGTTTTGGCCGTTGTACGCTCCGTCCTTCTTCAGGTGATTTGAATTTCTATCGAACTCTTTATTTCGTCCAAAAAGATTCGGTTTAAAATTCGGACGGATCATACAACGGCTGAAACATTGTGAATATGTCAATGAAGATGTGGATAATAGTCCGAATAATGTAAATAATGCAAGTACTTAAAAGTTGTTGAAAGAGTTATGTTTTATAAATTGAGACTGAGAGTAACACGAAGTGTTCTGTCACTGAAAGACAAATGTTACCTGCATGTGAACGGTTATTGTATCATTCCTATTATTGATCGAACATTATACAATGAAAATTTCAGATCCAAATTCTGAAAATAAAATCTTCATGATAATTTATTTATCCACCAATTGCTTGTTATCATTATCTTCTTTCAGTATAGATATTTAATCAGCTTAAAATAAAAAGAGGCGAAATCAACAGAGAAATACTTTTGTTATGTTAGCTGGTGCCTACCGCGAGAAGCAGTATTCAACAATTTGGATTTCACTGAGTATCCAACTGTAGAAATTCGACCGAGTGGCATATTTTAGCCAAATTCATTTACTAGACTTACTTTGTGTCGAAATTTCTGGAATGTGGAGGCATCATGATTTACATTCAAACTAATATTATCATCTTTGTTGTTAACATCAAGGCATTTCGGCATTTCGAACTGAACTACGGTTGGAGATCGTTCTCATTTCGCGCATTATGGATGGGGATATCTTTAGACTACAGCCTCGTGGATTAAGACGTTGGTTCGTAAATTTCATGGCATAGTGATTGTGAGTTCAAACAATGGGGCCGCAACGAGACTCTGTGGAAATAGTGCGAAAAAATCAGTCGTACTAAAACGAACACGATGGTATATCATTAGACATGGACAGAGGAACGAGAACTGTCGCCTCGCGTATATTAAATAAAGGGTTCAGTCAGAAATTTCCTGAAGTATATGCATATCGATAAGCATTAGTATCAACATCAAAGATAAGGGCATTAATCCGACTGTAAATAATGTCAGAGAGAGAGAGAGAGAGAGAGAGAGAGAGGGCTAGAGAGACATAGAGAGAGAGACAGACAGACAGACAGAGAGAGAGAGACAGACAGACAGACAGAGAGAGAGAGAGTGCGAGGGAGCGTGTATCTGTGTAGGGGATAAGATTATAACGAGATAGAGAAATGAATGAACTGAGATAGATAGATGAGATAGATAGATAGATAGATAGATAGATAGATATAGAAATTAATTTACTTAGATATAGAAATTAATTTACTTAGATAGATATAGAAATTAATTTACTTAGATGGATAGATAGATAGATAGATAGATAGATATAGAAATTAATATAGATAGATAGATAGATAGATAGATAGATATAGAAATTAATTTACTTAGATAAATAGATAGATATAGAAATTAGTTTACTTAGATAGATAGATAGATAGATAGATATAGAAACTAATTTAGATAGATAGATAGATAGATAGATAGATAGATATAGAAATTAATTTACTTAGATAGATATAGAAATTAATTTACTTAGATAGATAGATAGATAGATAGATAGATAGATACTTAATGCTTTGCTTTCTTGTTCTAATAAATTAGTAGAGAAATACTTTTGTTAAGTAAAGCGATTAACATTGCTCATGCATAAAAAAGAAAAACATTGTTTCATAGAATATATTTTCTTGTGTTTTTCTCGTGATCAGGGGAACTATAAATCTGGCTTTACAATCCTCTAAATGATGCAATTTATTGTTGTGAGTTTATTAACAAGTTTACAACTAAATATATCAAGATTTCAATAAGGCAGTCGCTTGGCTTTTATGTCAATATCAAACACTAGAAATTACATAAAATTTCACACGATTTTCTTCCGCATTTATTTCAAGTAACGAAAAGAGAAAATCGAATAAAAAAATAATGGTCCTCCCCACCTCATATAGCAGCGATAAAAATACAAGGAATAGAAAATTCTTTTTGATACTAAATACACGGTTTGCCTATTTCCGGTTTGACCTCTTCCATAGAAGACATATTCAATTTATGAAAGGGAAAATATCCTATTCTTTTTTTAATACAAGAATATGGAATAGAACAGCGTAATCATCCCATTAGAAAATCGATACCGTTCTGCCAAGGAACGTTAAACAGATGGAAGAAGCTAACGTGTCTAATACTGTAATTAGTTCTCCTCTCGCGACCATTTTTTTTTTTAATGCTTGCAATTAAAGCGCCACCTAACATTTGGACAGAGAATTAATAATGGCATAAGACGGACAGTCATAGATATCTGCCAAAGATGAGCTGACTCTCAGTATTTTACTTTAAGCAAGATGACTTGGTGTTATCTGGGGGAAATAATTTAGTATATTTTGAATGTGTTTCTTCCCCAGACGGTTGGATGACTTTTTTTTTGTCGTTGCAAAATTTTAATTGACTACCATCATTTTCAATCCTGTATTTTGTCACTTCGACGTGTTGTAATGGTTAACTAGCTTGTCTCTCTGGATTAATTACGAAAGAGTAGTGAGTGCGATCCTCACCGGCTGCCCTCTTTATTTGCCTTTGTACAAGACATAGAAAATCATTTTTTTAGCACTTCGTCACGACGAAGTAATGTTAGCAAACTTGTTTACTTTCAGGTTTGTGCCACAGCTACGATTAGAAAATCGGCGTAGTGCAATGGTTAACACGCTTGTCTTGCTAAATCAGTTACGACTGAATACTGAGCTCGATCCTCATTTGCTGTCCCATATTTTCGGCCTTGTGACACAGCTACGCTACGCTTAGAAAACCATCATTTTCAGTCAGGTATTTATCTTTATAATTCAGTCAGTTATGTGCCATGCGTGATACACGCTTAGGCGATCATGTATCTTTCGATACATGAATCACGAGGCAGATTTTTCCCGCAGTAGGTTGTTATTTCTTTCTGCAGTAGACCATTTGCTATCCAAGGCTATAGAACCTAGTGTGTCCTGCTATTTACCCATAGCTTTCGAAGAAGAGGATTTATACCTTTAGCAAGGGTATTAGCATGTAAGTGAATGTAATGGATTTGACTGGAATTTGAACTCGGCTCTCCGATTCCTCAGATCGAGCCGCTATCCATTACTCCACCGTAACGCAGTAACAGGACATTTGCTTTTATACTCCAACAAAATGTACCGTAGAATGACTTTGGTTCAAATAAAGTGAATATTCACTGAGTCGCCTACGTATCTGACTTCAAGAAATGTCTATGGAAAATAAGTAGGGCTGAGAAGTGATTCAATTACACTTCTTTTAAAGCATAGATTATAAATTTAGTCAATACTTCATTTAAATATATGATTGTACACTGGAAGATGCCCTGCGTTTTGAATACGCTGACTACATCCCTTGCAGAATGTCAAAACTTAACGCTAAAAAGGGTAATCTTCGGAGCGATTGATTGTAGATTCAAATATAAACCTGGCCAATGTATCCCTTTTAACTCTCGTACAAACTGAACGAATGTTTCTTTCGTTCTTTTTCTATACTTCCACTCTTCACTCAGTTTGATGTGTTAATATCTTCTGATGAAATGAAAAATGTTTTGCCCGAAAATTATCTTCCAGTTCTACTCTTGCCCCATCTGTAGTATCTTTGCGCGAATTTCCACTAAGAACTATTTCTTTATAGAGTGATCTATAAATAACTCTGTCCAGGGTTTCTGCTATCATCAAATGAATTTGTCCATGTGAAAAAATTAATGTTTTCCTGGAATAAGTTTAAACAGACGCCTTCTTTTTTGTATATATTAAGCGAATTTCTTTTAAAATTCGTTCATTTTCTAATTTCAGATGAGAACCTAAAAACGCATTTCAGTGAAATATTCAATTTCCCAAATTATGGTTTATAATTATTTTGATATTTGCACATACAGATATAGATATTCTATTTCTCTTACCTCTAGCGTATCTTCAAAACCTTGGCGATCATGGCTCTCCACAATTTCTTGTATTTTGTAACTCTTAATAAATTTTACTATCTCTTAGCTCTGCTAATCCTTGTCCCGCCATTCAATGACTCAAACTCGCAACATCGGGTATGCGTTGTTTTATTCTATCACTCTTGCCTTCAGTCTGTCCCGTGAGTATCAAATTTTCCAAGCCCTCTGTCCTCAATATGTGCCCTAGAAATTTTAACTGTCTCTTTCTGATGTTAGGTATAAGTGTACTTTTTGTTTCCATTTTCTCTAAACATTCATCGTGCTCTCCTATGTTCGATTCATGTATTATTCAGCGTCCTTCTGACAAACCACATTTCTATTTCTTCAAGTCTCTTCTTCATCTTTGAGATTGTCCGGCATTCACTGCCGTATAGGAAGACCGATATTACGTAACAGTTCAGTACTCTTTATTTGTGTCTAATGAAATCTTCCTGTTTCTTAATACATTACTTAGCTTTTGGAAGTCACCATTCGCTATGCCGATGCGTTTTCGGATTTTAGTGTCGCACTTACCGTCCTTATGTTAAAACAGTTCCTTCTTTAATTTTAGCATCTGCAGTTTGTAATTTGCATTTTCTGTTAGACATTTTGACGGTCGTCTTCGAGTATAGAATCCAGAGGTTAGCAGTGAATATTTCGGAGACAGTAGGAAAGCGTATGTCAGGTTAGCAGTGGATATCCCGGTAAAAGTAGCAGAGCGTAGTACTTCCTTCTGTCATCTTCGCCTGACAAGTTGGCACTAGTCATTCGGGTAGGTAAACAAAAATGGCCGCCTTTATACACGACGGATACAATGTTCTGCGGCTTTTGATTGGTTAACCTTCTATTGGTAAACTATAAAGGGAGTTAAGTCATTTTGACTAACTCACTAGTTACGTATATATATATACACAAAAAAAAACTGTAACATTTTCAGCTGTTCCTTTTGCTAACAATCATACATTTTGACTTTACAATTGATGTTTGACAACTTACTTCGTGATTTCCTTCACTCCATTCTGCAGGAGATTTTGTAGTTTCATTTCTGTGTCTGCTATCCATACTTGACCAGCTGCATATCTTATATTGTTAAGATTGTGGCCGCCACTAATGAATGCTGCTGGGACTTCTTATTCTTTAAGAATCATCTCCATATATAGGTTGAATAAATCCTGTGAAAAGACATATCCCCGTTTTAACTCCCTTAATATTTTGTATATCTACTGAAATTTCTATCTTTGCGCCCGTATGCATATTTAGTCCTTTCTTCTCGCTTTCCTTCACTACATTCTATATGAGTTCTTGTAGTTTCCTTTCTCTGTCTGCTATCAACACTGTGCCATCAGCATATCTTATGTTGTTAAGATTATGGCCGCCAATAATGAATCCTGGTAGAATCTCTAATTCATTCAGAATCGCCTTAATGCATAGGTTGAATGTCTGGTGAGAAGACACATCCTTGTCTTATATCCCTTAGTATTTGTGTATGTCTAATGAACTCAGTTTCTATACGCATTCATGTTTAGTCTTTTCTTCTTGCTTTCCTTAATACTTTCTCTGAGAGTTCTTGTATCTTCCTTTCTAAAGAAACGAAAATATGATGCCGATGTTGTATGGACATTACTGTTAGAAACAACTTAACATTCTCGGAATCATTCTCTAAAGAAGAACAAAAATACAAACCTAGGCATACAATCTATTCTGGAAAGAAAACAAAAGTCGAATAAAATGGAGTAAATAGCGACCTGTGTCCACAGATACAGAGACTGGAACGCAACAATAAAGCATCTCAGCTTGTTCTAAAGATGTACTTGCAAATAGACGTACATAAATTCTAACATCTTAAAGATGATAATGACTTGGAATGGAAAAGGTTGAGAGGAAGTTGACTCATTAGCGCAAAATATTGCATAGACAGAAAAAGTGAAAATAGAAAGACATTCTTCATTCTTGAATATTAACGTAAGTTCATATTAATAAAAAATAACATCATAAACTAAATATAATCAGTTATGAACACTGGCATAATGTGCTGACCATACAGGAATTAAGAATATGTCTACTTTTAAATATTTTAGAATTAATGACAATTCCGACAATTTTTACGCATACAGTAAAAATATAATACTAAAACTAATAAATGCATCTTGGCGGTATTGTTTAAGAAAACATGTATGAAGGAGGGTTGCTACCAATATATATATATATATATATATATATATATATATATATATATATAATAAAAAGGCTTAAACATTAATATTTTATTATATCCTTACTCTGTCCTTGACATTGCGTTCTACCTGGATTCTATCGTCTTGGAATTATTATATATATATATATATGTGTGTGTATGTATGTATGTATATATATATATATATGTATATATCCGTCTCATTCCTCATGGTGCGAAACATTTTATGAAATTAAACTTAAATTTAAGATTTGGATCGGCGTCAATGTCTTAGACAGATCTACTGTTATTAGCATATGTCGTAGGGGGGAGTGAGATTATAAACATAGATGAAGAGAATTATAGGTTGAGGATGGGGGAAAACGTCTCGCGTGTAGCAAGTTATATCCAGGAAGAAAGATAAAGGGAAAAAAGAGGCGGGAAATGGAATATATATATATATATATATATACAAGTATATAATTGGTATATACGGAATGAATTCCAATAACCAACAATTACTATTCTTAAAAGAGTGCTCAATACAAAGTAGAGCAGATATAATTATTATTTATAAAAATTATAACATAAATATGTTATAAAATCACTACAAAAATAGCCATTTTGTTTCTTACACTCGGTGTCTTATCAAGTGATGATGTTGAAAATGAAATAAAATTTTAGAAATAACATTTTATTTCATCTTCAAAATCATCACTTGATAAGACACTGAGTGTGTTGAAACAAAATGGCTATTTATAGTGATTTTATAACATACGTATGTTATTCTTTTTTATTTTTATATATATATATATATATATATATATATATATATATATATATATATATATATATATATATATATATATATATATGGTTGAGTGAGTGTGTGTGCGTCGTCCTGGATGGGTATGACGATAAACTAACTCCTACAGCAAGGCCTCTGATTGGGAGGTTTTGAGGAGCGTAAATCCGCCTCTTAATTGTTGTTTCTATCAGGTCCACCCTGACCCGGGGTGGTAGCACCTGTTATGGTCCCAGCTATGGCCAAATAGTTAACCCTCAAACAGGGATCAAAACACTATGAAAGTATAAATGTACATTTTAATAGAAAAAAAATACCAGCAATACATTTTCATAGTAAAAAAAAATTACCCACAATACATTTTTGGAAAAAAAATTACTATTACTGACAAAAAAATTAAATTTTGGTATTAAATGACAGATAAGGATTTGATATGCCCCTAAAGAAACAATATATATATATATGTATATATATATATATATATGTCTGTGTGTGTGTGTGTATGTGTGCATGTGTATATATATATATATATATATATATATATATATATATATATATATATATATATATATATACAAATATAGGTAAATATACTCGTTTCGAAAAAACCTTCGAATTCTTGATTTGCCAATAATGAAATCAATCTCGAGGGAAAAAAGTTTTAAAAATGAAAGCTAGAAACATGAAAGTCTGTCGAAAAAAATCGCACAGATACAGGTTTGAAGCCCAAAGAAAAAACTCCGACACGAGGAAACAACTAACTAACAAAAGAGCTCAATACAACCGTAGAGCAGACCTAGATAAACCTAGTGAGCCAGATAAACCTACCCAGGTTTCCCCTAAGCGGATCGTCAAGGAAAGCTATCGATGTCTGGCTCACTAGGTTTATATATATATATATATATATATATATATATATATATATATATATATATATGAATTTCTGGTATTCAGTGATAAGAAAGAAAGAAAAAAAGAAAGAAAGAAAGAAAGAAAGAAAAAAAAAAAAAAAAAGAGGATTAAAAGCACGAAATGCAACTGAAAAAGATTTCGGAGGAAATAAATAATTTTTTTTTTTTTTTCCTTCCTCTTTTTCTTCGTTTTCCTTTTTGCCTCGTGCAACGTTCTCTTTCATCATCCGTTAAGAAAGGACAATAGAAAAATAACAATGGAAACGACATAAAAGAATGAAAGGTTGAAAAAAAAAAGAAAAAGAAATCTGAAAGAAAAAAGAAAGGAAATATAAAGAAAAAAGAGACAAAAGAAAGAAAGGACGGAAGAAAAATGAAGGAAGAAAAAAGATCTAAAGAAAAAAGGAAGAAATAAAAGCAGGAATGGACGTAAGGAGAAAGGAAAACAAAAGAAATAAACAATGACGTAAAAGATGGACATAATTATATGAAGTACAAAGGTGAGAAGAAAGAATGCAGAAAATAAGAAACAGAAAAGAAAGAAAAATAAAGACTCTAGAAGGGAAGAAAAAAATGCAAAAGATGAAATGAGAAGATAAAATAATAAAATGTTGAAATAAAGTCAATTCAAAAAGATAAGGAAAAAAAAAGGAACAAATAAAATGATAAAAAGATAGCAAAGAAATGGGAAAAGTAGCTAAAAAGAAAGAAAAATCAAACGAAGAACCTATATCCTCAGAGACCTACAATCGTTTCTCTGCAAAGTAGGTATACTTCCTATTAGTGCTAAGAAAAGAAAAAGATTTATGAAACACTTCGCTATTTAAGTGTTGCTGTTGTCATCTGCTTGTTTATGGTGCTTTGCTAATACAACAGCCATTTGCTTGCCTCTGCCCACCATTTACTGCGGCTGTCAAAGCTATAAGTGTTACTGCTGGGCGGCAGATGGCGCTGCTGTTGTTCCGTTAAATGGTCTGAAGTTTTCCAACAAGAAAACACTCTCAGCTTTCATTAAAAATAAGACGATTATCGTCTTTTCTCATTCTTTACTTGTTTTTAAAGTCGAGAAAATGATAATCGTGGATCTCTTCCGAAGTAGATTGCGGGACCTTATCTTTGTATTAACCACCATAAAACGTTGAGCATTTTAAACTGATTCTACTGGTATGTTATTTTTCGTAAAAAATGAATACGAAAATAGCAACGAAACTCTTATTGTCTCAGTTCCAGATCGTCGCCATTATGAACATCATTAGTCGGCGCAATCATATCAGCATAAGTTGAGCAGACATGGTCAGAAAATTCCAGCCGATCCTAGAAAGTGTAGTAAACAAAAGCAAGAAGATGAGACTAACCATGATTTGTGTAAAGACGGGGTGTATTTTCGTTAGCATAAGAAAAAGACCAAGTTACGCGTCACAAAATGGAGGCGTCAAAATCATGCAAGTACAGAAACTGAACTACGAAGGTGGTCTGAAATGTTCATAAGCTGACTATAAATGAGTCATGCTAGAGCTGTGAAATCTTGCATGCATTAATTTAAACTCTTATTAATAACATCGTTTCTGTCCAGGTAAACTGATATCTGACTGTTCAAAGATGGCAGTTTTTCCCCTTGTTAAAAAAAGTCATGAACAGTAGATATGACGTTAGCATCACTACAATACTGGTTTCTAGTGAAGTATTTTTTTTATATTGGGGAACAGATGATAGTCAAATAGGGCATAATCGGGAAAATAGAGATGATGAACAACCAGATCAATGCCACAGTCACGCACATCACTAACTGAGACCAGAGACGTTTGCTGGAGTATTGCCTCGACAAAACAAGCCCGATTTCGTCAGTTTTTTTTCTGGGCTTTTACATGTATTTGATAACACCTCGATGCCAAAGAGAATTTGTTACTAGTTAATTTTAACATTTTCTTATCAAAGTCAGTTTGCCTAAAGGCATAAACAATGCAGTTATTAATAAAAACAGTTGAAATTAACGCATGGAAGATTCCACAGATCTAGTCAGCCTCTAATGTTTTCAGCCCATCTCTTATCAAAACGATGGAAAATATGACACAAAAATCTGTATCTTGTATCTGATTGATAAACTAAGAAAACGCGTTAGCTTACTTTCTCTTTGCGCTATGAACAGCAAATTCCAGTTAACTTTCTAAATCCTTCTTTAGAAATAGTTTTTTCATCGATTTATTTGTTTTTTTGTTGTTTTTTTTTTTCATTTTTTTCTTGCAAGATTAAACTTGCGGAGAAGAGGTTGATTCATGCTTTTCCCCAGTGTAATTGGAATATAAGTGAACGTAACGAATTCGACTAGAAATCGAACTCAGCTCTCCGATTTTTCATTCCAAACGTTATCCATTGTACCACCGTACATCAAAATATACGGCGCCTGGTATATCGCAAGCAGTCACCCGTCTAGGTACTCAACGTTGCTTAACTTCGGTGATCGGACAAGAACAGGTGTTTCAACGTGATATGGTTATAAAAAATGTAGAAACAGAACTCTTTCTATATATAGTGACGTGACTGGTGTGCCCTTTATTTCTATATCTTTATCAAATAGAAATGACAGGAAGTAACATATAAGCAATAAGGAGGGTAGATATTTAGCAAGTATACTGTGGCCTAAGAAAAGTGTTTAGCCAGGAGAAATAAACTACACCCAATTTCAAAATTCAATTACGTAATCCCTACTCAACAAAAATAAACAATATTTTGAACTAGTATAGAGTAGGTCCTCCATTTGCTAGTTTCAGTGCTTGTGTTTAATTTTTCATGGATTCAATCAAGTTATCAACAATCATCAGATCCATATTTTACCACACCTTTAGCAATGTTCCTTTGAGGGTTGCCATTGGCGTGATTTAGGTTGTACGCTCTCGAATCTTCGGTCAAGGTGCTCCCAAACGTGCTCTATTGGATTCACGTCAGGATTTCGGGCTTCCCATAACAGTGACGTGATTCCTTGCGATTCCTTCCAGGCCTTTGCTACTTTGCTCGTATGACATGGCGCTTCATCTTCTTGATAAAGGTAGACATTCTTGTCAATATGATTGGTTTCAAATAGGGGGAGTAGACTTTTCTCTAATATTTGACATTATTTTGGACCATTTAACCGCTCGACATCATGAATCAGCACATATTTCACTCCAGACAAGACAGCGCCCCACTCCATTGCTCAAATCCCTCCATGTTTGACGGTCGCCTGCAGACATTCAGTGTTCCAAGTTTCATTCTGAATTTTCCAAACATAAACCTGTCTTTATTTCAAATATCTGACCAAATTACAGACTGCCAAAATTCATAATCTTTGCTCTCGAATTCTTTTACCCAGTCCTTACGCCTGCTCCTGTTAACCCCTGAAATCAAGGGCTTCTTTCTTGCAACTCTTCTTTGATAGCCTAGCTCATTCAGAGTCTTTCTGACCGCATATAGTGGCATCTCCATGCTGTTGGTGACATCTTTGACGCTCTGACGACGGTTTCTGATAACTTCCCTATTCAGTGCCCTTTTTGTTCGCTCAGACACGATGCTTGGTCTTCCTGAACTTTGTTCCACACGACAATGGCCTTCTTCATTAAATTTTTTGACAATTAAAATTATTAACTGTTTGATGCTCAACCTGGAAAAATCTAGCAATTTCTCTATTTGAATTGCCACATTGATGCCATCCTATTATTTGCCCTTATTGAAATTCACTAATTTCCTTACTTTCATTGCAAGTCAACTATTGTGCATAGATGAGATTAGCTTGTTACTAATTCGCTATTGTCTGAAAAAAAGAAGATACGTTATTACATTAGCCAAAATTGCTGTAATTAAAGGTGGCTAAAAACTTATTTTCGACCACTGTATAGAAATTATCAAAACATTCAAGTGAGGGAGAAACAATCTATAATGATCCGTGTTTGAATAGCAAAATGCCTTGCAAAACCTAAGCAAACTATTAAGAAAAAAAAAGTTAAAAAAAAAAAAAAAGAAGCAAAAAAAAAACAAAAAAAAAACAAGGAAGCCCTGATCTCCGGTTTAATATCAGTCTTTCTCTATGGCACCAAATGTTGGAACAATTTCTTAACACATAAAGAGGAGGCTTGAGACAACAGAGATGTAGTTATAAGGAAGGATTCTAAGAATGCCATTGACAAGGAATGTGAGCAACGAAAACGCTTCAAGAAAAATGTGAACGAAAACTATAAAATTAGGACCAGAAACATTTCTAGGACACATAATGAGGAAAGACGGCTTAGTGAATTTAACACTCAAAAGGAAACAGAGAGTAAAGTACCTAATGAGTTTTGTAGCTGGATGGTAAAGCATGAACTAACAGTGATTATAAACAGAAAAAACATTGCTATGAACTACAAATGATAAGACGCTGTGGGCAATTATAACACGCACATAAAAATAAGAATGGCTTGTGACAACAGGTGACTAAATATCGAAAAGGCGCATTTAATTAGCAAGTCACTGAAATTTTACCATTAGACTAGTGTTAAGATCGTGCAAAGATCCTAGAGTATCAGCCACTGTACAATAAAAATTCCTTTCCATTATTCGTTTTAATAAAATACATTAGCCATTTATCAGCAACGTCATTAATATCGGTACAAATATCAAATATGTACAAATCGTGGGTTGCTCAATACCATTAGACGAAGAAAATTAAAATGAATGAGATGCATAGTCAAATTGTGAATTATTTTTGTTTGATCATTTTGCCTGACTTCTTGAGGCTCATGAATTTTTAAGCGGGAATTTGTATGTTTTCATTATCTAACAAATACTGTGCTCAAATTCAGTAACTAAAATGCATTTTAATTACTTTTGTTCAATTAAAAAAGTCACTGAAAAAAATTAGCTTTTCGAATCAAGAGATATCGATTCTATCCTAACCAGCAGACAAAATAAATAAATAAATAAATAAAATGTCGCCATTTGCAGAGTAGAAGAAGCAGCTTATAATTTGAAAATATGTGAAAGACGAAAAATCAAACAATGCCAAGGCCTTGGCTAAAAATTCAGAAACTGTGAAATCTGAGAATTTTGTTCGAAATCGCTGCCAGTCACGAAGACTCCAACCGTAAATCTCGTTTGTTGGTATCTAAATAAATATAAACATTTATTACGACTAAAAAAATAAGGAACGGGTAATGGTGATATGCTTTGTTTCACAGAGATACTCATGTTACTGAATGACGGAGAATACTTTTAATAGATTGCATAATATCACAATATATTTTTCAAAAATGAATCAGAAATAAAACAGGGAAATAGTAGAGAATATATAGCTTCCAAATTCTAGATGACCAGAGCTTGATAACTGGTCTCGCCTCTGAGACTAGCTTTAACAGCGAAGTGGGGGTAAAAATGGCTGCTCGCTTTCAATGTTTCATGTTTTCAAAAACCAAACTACTAATGTTCTATCATCTCGAGGGGATCCTATCGCCATGAACGGGTGTTCTCGAGGAGGTGGCATGCCTTGAACGCCTCTTGTGACTTAAATTCATTCTAGATCTCAAGTGGAACTTGCACATACGATCAATCGCTAAAGATAAAGGGAATGATCGTTTTCATGTACCTCTTCAGTAGGTACCTCTCTCTTCCTATCCTCTACATTTCCAACAGGCAAATTATGCCAACAAGCCAATACTGCTGGAATATATATATATATATATATATATATATATATATATATATATATATATATATTGAGACATGTTTCGTTGAATAATTTAGACGGGTTCTCTTTATTTATTTTCAACAGGATCCTTTCATATTCTCGGATAATATGTTGCTGTGATTATTGAAGGACGAGTGAAAATCGCCGTGTTGTTACATATGTCTTATATTCCGAGTACTTTCGACATGGCAATGCCATCATCTGGGTATTGTTTTTTACAAGATAAATATTGAAAATATATGTGTGTATGTATGTATGCGCGTGAGCGCGTGTGTGTGTTGCTTCAATATCTGACATAGTCTGTTGCCCTTGATAAAGTTACGAATCTATCACTTTTCCCCATCTATGGGTTAAATTACAAAGCTAGACCGTACTCTATTATACTGAGGTGGAAGCTAGCCTTAAAGGCGGAAACTTCCAGACCCCTGGCTTTAAAAGCAAACAGGAGACAGCTTTGCTATATTCCTAAAGAAGTCATGGAAATTGACATATAATAAATAGAGTTCTGTGGTGGGCCATGATCAGCTATTGTCTCAAATGGACTTTGAAATGAAAACTGTTCAACATACTTTGCACATTGGGTCTCCTTTGACTTTTGCAAAAAATAATTCTGCTTCAATAATCTGAGAAACATTCGAATATATCTTTCTTTTCAAATTCCTTTTAGCCCCTTCCCCGGCGTAAAGTTGTAGATACGTGTTTACCGAAAGTGTAATTTTCAGACACAGAGGAATAAACACGTTTAAAACATAACGTTCAAAAAACAGCTACAAATGTGTTTAGACGTCGAACTTTTAAGCCCTTCTGAGATTGAAACTAATTCAATTGTCAACTCACACGTCTCGAATTATATAGTTTGCATAAAAGACACAAAGTAAAGCTCATGAAGTCAAGCGTACGGGCGTTCGTTCAACTTTCTACCTCCCCTATCTCAAAGTTCGAATGTTTTTGTTTGGTGTTGATATGCTTATTCGACAATTTATTATCAAAAGCATACAAACCTAAAATGTTCTCAACTATTTGATATATGTCGATATTTGTGAGATGAGGTATTGTGAGATTGAGGTATTAGCAACAGAAAATTTATTAATTAGTGGAAAGTGAAAATAATAATCAGGAAGACACTAGATAGTGATTGACATTGCATTTAATTTTTTTCAGATTAAAGTTAGCTGATTAAAAAGGATCCTGAAAGAAGGCTAGCTTCCACCTCAGTATAATAGAGTACGGTCTAGCTTTGTAATTTAACCCATAGATGGGGAGAAGTGATAGATTCGTAACTTTATTAAGGGCAACAGACTATGTCAGATATAGAACCAACACACACACGCGCTCACGCGCATACATACATACACACATATATTTTCAATATTTATCTTGTAAAAAACAATACCCAGATGATGGCATTGCCATGTCGAAAGTACTCGGAATATAAGAAATATGTAACAACACGGCGATAATGGGAATTTGTGAGATGAGGTATTGTAACTAATTAACTATTTACACTACAGTCCACGAGGACGTATGTTGCAGTGGATAAAAGCGTTGGGTTAAGTAATTTGTAGTAGTAACGAATGACGTCAGAGTTGTGAGTTAAGGTTTGAAAACAGGAAATATCCAAATGGAACAAGATCTCGTGTGTATAGAAGCTATTCTAGGCACTCAAATTCCTCAGAGTATCCAACATCTTACCAAGTCTGTAAAAAAAGCCACATTATCCTGCAAAAAGCGATCATCTTTCCATAGTGCCATTCGCTGCATTTTAAACGCTTTCTTTAATTAAAAGTTATCTTCATATATTCTTTTTTCCCTGTCTGAACAATAATTAGGTATCAAAATACTTATCCCGTAAAACTGTGACTGTAAGATGCTCTGTTGAATTTTTGGTCTTGTATTTTCAAGGCCAGTGAGAAGGTAAGTGCTTCTAGTGCATGGACCATTGCTTCAACAAATCACACATGGTCCGGTGCTATTTACCTTGAGCTCCTTGATAAAATCCAAAGAAGTATCAGCAATATTATCGGTCCTGATCTGGCGGCTCGGCTTCAGTTATTTCCTCACCGCCATAACGTTATTTTTGTGTCTTTTCTAGCAATACTTTCTTGGCAATTGTTCAAAATCAACGCATCGTTATGGTACCTAAACTTTTTGAATTTAATCACAGTACGAGACTGGGGTCGAGATGTCGTCAGTCTACAGTTGAACTGGCTATGTTGCAACAGTAAATTCTATGCTAATAGTTTCTTTTCTCGCACTTCTATCTTGTGGAATTCATTTCAGGCTCCATGCTTTTCAGCCAACGTTAATCTGAAAAAAATTAATGTCAATCACTATCTACTGTCTTCCTGATTATTATTTTCACTTCCCACTAATTATTAAAGTTTCTGTTGCTAATTCTTCCAAACCCAGTAACCCTTGTGTCTTAGTGGCTTTTCTGACTTGCTTGGGATAATATCAATTAGAAGAATAGAAATATTTGTTATATAGTTTACCGATACGCGCATCTACGCCAGGCAGTGTCGGAAAGAGGACGTAGTAACGGAACTCACTAACGTGAGTTAAACATATCATTTACAAAAGAAGTCGAGTTAATCTCCGTTATATAACAATTTTAAGGATTATTGGAATTGAAATAAAAGCGAATGTCAAAATGGAAGGTGGTAATCGTCTTAATATGATTACTTTACTGACGTCATTCGTTACTGCTACAAATTAATTCTACCACCACTTCCCTACCAACAACATTCACCTTTGTCAATGTGGGTTAGCATAATGCAAAGGAAGGGATTATATTTGAAGTGACCCACGTATGTGCCTTAGGGGGAATTTAGATAGAGATGAACAGACTGTGATAGATAGATAGATAGATAGATAGATAGATAGATAGATAGATAGATATAAACCTACTGAAATAATATGATCGGACTGAAATAGATAGGGTAATAGACAGATATTTAATGATTGAGATAGATATGAACAAAGATTTACATTTGCTCGACAACCTGGCCTGTGCGGCAAAATATTGTGACGATTCGTTTACTGTCCTGTACAGAGATAGGTCCGTTCAGCATTTCAGCATATTTGAAGCGGTCCTTATTAAATTACATCAACCGTCTTAGTGCAGGCAGAAAAAAAAAGTATTTTGCTCACTTTCTCGGTCTTCTAGGAGGCATAATAGTGAAGTTTTATTTCCATTTTACTCACTAAGAATCTTTTACATTGGTACTTTTGCCAAACTATTTTACCTTCCCCTTGTTTAATTAATATTTTTTTATTTTAGTCGTGGTTAATTTGCTTTCCTTATATTTTACTTTTCTCGCAGTACGAATTCTTTTACTGCCGATTTAATATTTACCAACGTATTCTTCTGACGAAGTGTTGATTAAAAAGGATCCAGAAAGAAGAATGCTTTCCTGCGTTTTCAAATTTCTATACAAGTTCTGTGGTGTCAAACTTCTGTTTATATATATATATATATATATATATATATATATATATATATATATATATATATATATAAAGTTTCAAATTAAAAAAATAATGATAATTTTTTTTAAGTATTTATTTGTATTTGATATTTCAGATCGACCTCGATTTTCCTTCAGAAATAACTGTTTTTAGAGGTTTGTTTACTATATATATATATATATATATATATATATATATATATATATATATATATATATATATATAAAAAAGAGGCAGCTTTCCTGACGATCCGCTTAGGTGAAATCTGGGTAGGTTTGTCTAGCTCACTAGGTTTTCTATCTATCTATCTATCTATCTATCTATCTATATATATATATAGATAGATAGATAGATAGATAGATAGGAAGACGCATATCTGCATGTATGCTAAAATATTTATACGTAAGAGCACACATTTTCATGCACAGAATTATATAAACATGTATGTTTGTTTACTTTTTTCTATATATCCTTAGATGAATGGTGTGTATATATTTGGATCATTTTAAATGGGATAGGCGATGGAGAATTACAAAACCTCCTATAGAAGGTAGCAAAGTAGAGCGAGGTGGGACTAAAGATAAACTACAAGAAGACAGAATGCATGGTCATCAGTAAAAACATGAGCCTGAAATGCGATTGCGGGTCAGGGACACTAAAATCAAGCAGGTGCGGAAGTTTAAATATCTGGGTAGTGTTTTGAAATAGGACAGTAAGTGCGACACTGAAATCCGTAGACGGATTGGGATGGCCAAAACCGCATTCCAAAAGCTGGACATTGTATTGCGAGGCAGGAGGATTTCTTTGGTAACAAAGAAAAGAGCTGTTACGTGACATCTGTCCTTTAATGCAGCGTATGTTGGACAGTCTCCTCGCAATGATGAAGAGACTCGAGGCGTCGGAGAGGTGGTTCTACGAAAGGATGCTGAAGATATCATAGACCGAGCGTTTGAGCAACGATGAGGTCTTGGAGAGAATGCATAAAAGGAGGAATCCTATGTTTAACATCAGGAAGAGACAGCTGAAGTTTCTGGGACACGTAATGAGAAAGAAGGGACTGGAAAATCTAATACTCACAGGTCGAATAGAAGGAAAGAGAGAAAAGTGAAAGCAATGCATGACGCACCTGGCGCAAGTGGATGGCAGAACGTGGTCTGGGGTGGAGGGTGTCAAAAGGACGAAACCTATTTAGAGCCACAAGGGATGCGGGGAAGTGGAGAGCCATGATCGCCTACATCCTGAAAAGTCACAGCACATAAACAGAAAAGAATGGATCACCATGAGAATTCGGGGAGCCGTGTTCAAATCCCATTCGGGTTCGTTACATTCACTCACGCGTAAATAACAATGAGAAGGATATGAATCTATTTCTTCTCCCACTAGCTATAGGTGAAATAGCAGTACCAACTATATCCTATAGCCTTGATTGGCAAATGTATACCACAGAAAGAAATGGCCGCCTTCTGTGGGAAAATGTTCTGCCTAAGTCATGAATCACCCAAGCTCTTGCTGCCTACATATAAATTTATACACACACACACACATACACACACACACACACACACACACACACACAAATATATATATATATATATATATATATATATATATATATATATATATATATAGAAAGAAAAAACAGACCACTTTAACGCTCCATTGTAATAGTTTATTTCATCAGAGACCTTTTAAAGTACCCTGGATCATCAGACATCATTTCCAAAAAGTGAAACGAAAAATGAAATGAAAATTTACACTTTTGACGGGTAGTATTATATAATTTAACAGAGAGGGTAGCGAGGAGTGGTGTGAGAGACATGGTCGAGGTAAGAGAGGGTTTATTTTAATATTTCTTTCTATCATACTTAGTATTGAGGAAGGAGGGACCAGACATTGACCTATTTAATCGGTCAACAATGGAAAATATATATATATATATATATATATATATATATATATAAGGGCAGTGACTTTTAGCATTTATTTTTAAATCCAGTGCTCGATACACATTAGAGCATAATATTATAATATTATTATTTAATAATATGTATTCATCACGACGCAGAAATTACCATGTTTCGGGTTTAAAACCTAAATTTAAATTAAATCGAAAATTAAAGTTTTTGTTCCATTCTCAAGGGATGTTGAATAATTTTCGAAAAATGATTTAATTTTTGTAAGCTAAATAGTATGATATAGTTTAAGTTCGAGGGGGAAAGGGATTACAAATTTTTAAAAGGGTGTTGCCTTTTTTGAGGAATCAGGATACAAGTCTAATTTAAGATGGCAAAGTGTAAATATAGGTTATGGGTTAGATGTGGGTTTGTAATTTATGCCTGTTGATACTGGCTTCCTTATATGAGGACGTGTCATCCTGTTTGTTTTTAAGGGCATACATAAGATACACTACAATACATTGGAATTTTTATTTAATTTTTATAAAACACATTGTCTTAAATGGGCTTTAAATATGATTAAGTCATATTTTATATATTTATATTTATAAAGATCTAAAATACTATATTTATTAGTACACGAGACTGGAAATTGTTAGAATTAAGATTTTAAACTTTAGGAATTTATTTACGCATTTTTTTACTTTCTTATATGTTATCAAGTAATAGATATATAATTATGATTTTTTTAAAATAATTAAAGTAAACATAATGCAGTGTCTACAGAAACAGTTATTTCTTTTCTTTGATTTAATAAATCTTTATTTTTTAGAAACTTATTAAAATATAATTTTTCATGTAGGCAAAACAGATATGGGTCATTTAAAATCCTAAAAGTTCTCGTTTTTTGTTGTTTTTTTTTAAATAATTTCCATTTTGCTGTGGGGGTTTTATTTATTTCTTTTAAATGCCAAAAATATTTGGATAGCAATATTTGGTTACTTTGAATGAAGATAGATTTTTGGCTCCACCTTAATTTAAAATTATTTTTAATCCTATCAATATAAAATATTTAATATTAGGATTCTCAATAGATGAGATAGTACATTGGTTAACTATAGATTCTGTGAGATATTTATTATTCAATATACAATTTTTAGGATACCTACATAATTTCTCTTTATTATTATTCTTATTTCTGGATAAATACTTTTTGATTCTGGCTTTTATTTGATATTTTAATACTGTGTTTTTTAAATTTTTTCCCTAATTTTCAGTACAACTATAACCTAATTATGGTATTTTTATTAAAAATTTTGCTAAGAGGATTAATTCTTGGATAATGTTTTTTAATTAAAGCAAAAAGATTACGTCCTAACTTACTACAAATCATTTGGTTAAATGAGAGTGTGTACCAAATGATTTTTTTATTTCTATTTCTTCTCTGTTTAATATTTTTTTAAATTATTTTTATATTTAATGTCATGGCATTTATAGCTAAAATTCTATAAAGCTTTATTATAAAAAGTACTGTGTTCATAAAATATTCTTTCATTAGCAGAATTTATACTTATTCGTTGTTCTATGGAAGAAGGTAGATGCTTTATTATTGATGGGTTATGATTTCACTTCGGGTGGATATATAAAGGATTGCTATTAGATTTTTTATAGGATTGGTATATTTTTTCCATTAAGTCTAATGATATATCGAGGAAGTTTACTTTTTTAATTTTGTATTAATAGTAACTTTCAAATGTAGCTACTTAAATTCTCTATGCATTATCTTATCAATTTTGAATTTTGTAGACTCCCTCACAATCATAAGACTATCATCCCTATACAGTCCGATATCTTGAATATTAATTTCACGGTGTGCACTCTATAAAATAGACCAACAAGAGCGTACGTATGAATGTGTAACTACGCCTAACCCAAGATTATGAATATGGGTGTGTATGTACGAACTATGATGCATGCACCTGTGTGCATGTTGCCTATGTATAAGTGAAGGTCATACCAAACAAACGCAGAAGAAAAATATTTTTCCTTTACCACCACATACAAATAATCAAATAAAAATAAAGCATAAATGGATCAACATAAAAAAAGTTTGTCTGAAGATCGCAAAAGCGTGAAACTCGGTGTTACAACTAATATCCATGCAACTGCATGTATTAGCTCTTTCACGCATATTGAGCACTTTCCACTAAATAGCGCATATATATATATATATATATATATATATATATATATATATATATATATATATATATATATATATATATATATATATATATATATATATATATATAGGAAGGCACAGTGGAATAATGTATAGCGGCTTGGATTGAGGAATCGCAGAGCCTAGTTCAATTCCAGTCGAGTACATTACATTCACTTACGTGCTAATACTCCTCTTACTCTCCCTCCAGCTATGGGTAAAATAGGACAGACTGGGTGCCTTGGATGGCAACTGGTCTAGAAGAAGGACAACTCTGAATTCAAAACCTGCGGAGGGTCGTTTGGGAACCTTGTGGCATTCG